AAAGAAGTGGCGGGGTAAAGACCCCACCACTATCAAATCACTCTTTTCCTCTGGCTATGGGGAGTTGATCCAACTCAAACGTTCTTTGAAGATGCTTGATATGGCTTCCACTTGATGGAATACTCGCAGGTTCTTTCAAACTTAGAAGTCCTCAATTAGTATAAAGGCTAATTACCCAATCAGACTCTCCTTCCTGAGAAAAATGCTCTGCTGGGCACAGAGCCCACCTAAAAGGCAAATATAAAGCACCTGCACTGCAAAATTATTCACTTAATGCATGTGTGTTAACCATACAGGAAATGTAAGTTAGTCTAAGCATCTATGTGTAAAAAGAAAAAAGTAGGCATTTTAGTAAGCTCAAGACTGGTTATAATTTACATTTAAATCAAAATCCAATTAATTTTAAGTCACTTAGTTGCTGAGATTCCTGACAGCATGTCTCTGCAAGGCAAGTTACACCACATTACATCTGTAATAAAGGAATGCTTAAGTTCTCTTTAGTGCAGCTATACTATTACAAAGCTAGAAAGGAATGGATTTTGCAGACTTGACGCTAATTTTACTTTTAATATTGAATTATGCATTCCTGAAAGGACCCAAGGAAATCACAAACAACTAGCACTTACTAGAAATGGAGGAATTGTCAACTGCAATTCCTCTCAGTCAGACCCCTTACTTGCTTCCACACTACAAAGCAATTAGAAAAAAAAAAGCATATCCAAAAAAGCAGAAAGTGACAAATAAAAGTACAACAGAAAAAGCTAACTTTAATCTGTGACTACCGCTTCACATGATACATTTAACAAACAGTATAATTTTTTGTTTCTACCAATAAACACACAGCTCACAAAATATTAAACATTTTCATCTGCCCAGTCACTCACAACCTCCAACAGGTGTACAATAAACGCTTTGTCTGCTTGTATAAGAGCAAAACAAAACTCAATGTTTCCTCTCAGAATCCATTCTGCGTCTCATTATGGTGTGTTAACAAAAAAAAAAAAAGGGTTTTCTTCATGTCATTTCATCAATAATGCTACACATAGCTGCATCTTTGTCTAAAACCTGATCTCTCTTGCCACCAGATCGCTCTCTTTGCTTTTCACTCTGTCCGATACAGTTGCCGCTATCATCAGTATCCACTGTTTCCACTTTCACTCCGAGTCCTCCCTCTGAATGAGGCAGATCATCAGGCAAGGAAGCCAGGCAGTTCTGAATCATCTCTACAACTCGCTCCAAGTGCTTCTGAAATCGCTCTGCAGTTTCCAGACGCTGACGTTTCTGCACTTCCATCATGACTCTCAGTGTCTCCCTAGCTTGGTGAGGGCGATACTCATTTATAAGGTGATGAACGTGAACAAAAAGCAGTTTCAAGTCTTCCAGCTTCTCCTCTCGCTTTATACTCCCTGGACTCCTTATCAAGATATCCAAGAGGTCCAAAAAGTTGACCAGGATAGACATGTTAAGTTTCCTTAATTCCTTCTTGTGATCAAACTGCATAGGATGCAACCGTTCAATACCCTGGCTCTCCAAGGGTCGAATAATCAGATCATCACATTGAAACTGATTACCAAACATCATATAACTGTCTTTCACAGGTGGGGGTGGCTTTGGAGCCAGGCCTTTACGGATATTTTCATCGGTATATTCTTTTATATATTGCATTGGAGGTGGAGGAAGGGCACTCACTTGCTGAGGTTCACCCATTTTTGGCAGACAAAAATACCTAGGGATTGTCCCAAGAAACACATGTTAAACAAATTGCGTGACAATCTTATTACATAAATAAAAACAAACACAACATAAGCGAGCTGGTTGTGAGAAAACAAGCCAGAAAAAAGCCATCATGTGCAGAATACAGCAAACTCCCGAATGAATCAGTGTTAACTTTTCACTAAGGTATGCTTTTATCAGGATTAACTTCACTACAGGCACATAAAACATTCATTGCTCGAACCA